ACTATTTACTTTCAACTTATTTTTAATTTATATGATGTATTTTTTGTATGTTTATATTGATGTTTTATTCTTGTTCTAGTCAGCCTTAGTACAAGGAGTTTTGAAATCTAATTTATTCTATCTCCAAGGTTTCAACTTTGTTTTATAACTTTAAATTTTATTATTTATATCTATTTGATTATTTATTATAATATAATATATTTATATTAATAGATAATATTACATATTACACATTTGATATACTTCTAAATACTTTCATTTTTAAAATATGTTTTTACCATAAAAGATACTTTATTCTTATACATGAATTTCGATGTGAGATTATTTGATATAAAAAATTTCTTAACAAACAAAATTTCATTTGATTCATTCAATATAATTTAATAATATGGAATATTTATTAATATGAAAAAAAATATGTTTTGACCACAAATTTTAAAAAACTTCTATATATATATATATATATATATATATATATATATATGCTTTATTTTGATGTATTCTTAAAAAAAATAAAATAGTAAATTATGAATTTCTTATATATTACAAATAAACAATTTGTAATGATTAATAAGTGAAAAAATAATCAAAACCATGAACAAATAGTGATTAATTATATATATATATACATATATATATATATATTCAAAACTTTCTTTGTTATTTGCTAAGTTTTTTTTTCTTTTAATACTTTTATATGAATTACATCAAAATACTTTTTCTACTACCTTATAGTAAATCAAAATTCGAAAAATAAAACTACTTTATATATCTATTTTTCTTAATGATAATTATAATGATAATTTTAATAAATAGTTCTAAGCTGTGATGATGCTCATAAAATCTAAATGGTATCATTATGAATTTGCATAAACAGTAACTTTTGCAATGAGTTGGGATTTTATGTTTTATTCAAAAATGGAATAGATACTTCTTTAAATTTTAACTGAGGTACAATTTAAGTAATTTTTATTTGAAATATATATGTTCACCTCGTAAAGAAATCCAATCATATATATATATATATATATATATATATACTTAACATACTTGGGTTTTAAGTTTATAGGATGTTCGCTGATTTAATGAATAGGATACCTTAAACTGTATCACTTAAATCTTGTGATCCATTTCCTTTCAAGATGGAAGTTCTTGATATAAATTTATTATAAATAAAACCTTCTAAAATTAAAGCATTTTCTAAATATATTCAGATATAAATAAAAACATATTTTCTTTTTTTGTAACATGTAATAAAAGAAGTTATATATTTAAAAAGAAATATTTAACACACTAACAATGCATGTATACTAACAATTTTCAGAATGACTTAGTAGGTATTTTAAAATGTATACTAATTCATTCTAAAAATTTGAATATTAGAATATAATAAAATAAATAACTATCAATATGAAAACACCTATCTACTTTATAATCATGAAAGACATAGTTTTTTTTTTTTTTTTTTTTTATTTTGAACAGAGCATTTTACAAAATTTAAATCTGGGTTTTAAATCATAAAAATATTCAATTCTCTAATTTAAATATCTTATTATTGTATTAAACTGCATAATCCTTGTAAACACTGATTTAACACACAATTGTAGCAAGAGATAAGTGAGTTAGTTGATTGACATTTTTTAATAAGCATTAAGATTGGATCTAACTAAAGGACGACAGTTACAAAATTTACAAAATTTACAAAAAAGTTCATTTTACAAACTAAGAACTTTTTTGAATCAAACTTTAATATAACACTTAAAAATTTTCACAATCCATAATCAATAAATCTTATAAGTGCTTGTTAATTGATTTGTTATTCCATGAATTAAGATTCAAATGAGTAAAGCTGAATGCAACCTCAAGATGTTATATACAAAGATATTGTAACATTGTATAACAATTATTATTATTATTATTATTGTTAATAATGCACAATTAAAACTTCTTAGTTGGTTACTGCAGTAGCATTTCCAAAGAAACCAACAAAGTCATAAGATTTGTTTTTGTAACTCTTGTTGATACATACAACTTCAAGCTCAGGAGCTTCCACAACTCAAGCCCAAGGAACAAAATCCATTGGCAATTTCTTCAGTTCAGCCTGCTGCTTCTTTTAAGGCAAAAATGAATGAATGTATGAATGGAGGACTATTGTTATGTTTCTAATTTTGTTGTTTGTTGTTTGTTCTTTCTTTTGGGAAGGGGCTCTCCAGGTTGAGATTAGCAAAACCAAGGCAAGGGTAGGCCATTACGGGGGGGGGGGGGGGGGGGGGGGGGGTCCGTTCAAAAAAGGTGGGGGGGGGGGGAAAAAATTTTTTTTGGGGGATAATTCTAAAAACCCCCCCTGGGGATCCAAAGGGGGCCCCAAAAAATTTCCAAAAATGGGGCCCCCCCCCCCGGGGAAAAAAATAGGGGGGGGGCCCCCCCCCCCCGTCCCCCAAAAAAAAAAACCCCCCCCCCAAACCCCAAAGGGGGTTTTTTCCCCCCCGGGGGGGGGGGGGGGGGGGTTTCCC